CGCCCCTGGCTGGAGCCATGTTATCACTAGCAGCTTGATGGTTTTTAGCACCTGTACTCTCCAAATTACCATTGTGTCTCATAAAAACATCTTGTAGAGTTAACTGAAGCCATACAGGGTTGGGCAACAGTAAAAACATGCAGCCCAAACACAAATACTGTATCTCATATAAGCTTTAACATTTTAATGTATTTTTAAAAGTAATTTTTAATCTTTTGAAATCTGCAGCTTTCATTACCATATAACCTGGCAAAAAGGTCAGAAGTCTTCAGGTATAGGATCACAATGTTCTGTCCCTGTCTTCAAATTGTGCTAGTGCATTGTCATCCTGTCATACAGGCTTCCCATGGAGACTACACATTAGGTTGGCATTGATTACTGTTGTCACCATTAGTAACCTTGTCCTGATAAATGTTATGTAGCCACTTCTGGAGTGCATGCATGTAGACAGGAATTGGCTGCAAAAAGGTTGCAGAAGAACCATCAGTATTTGAGTACAGAAATCTGCAACCTACAATGTATTATAATCAGATGGCAATATGGCCGAAGTGCTCCAGCTTAATTTCTAAATTAGCTCAGAATAGCTGTTCATTCAGTTAGGATTCACATTTACTTTATTAAGCCCTTCACTGATGTAAGCAGTATCTCTAGCATCTGACTTGACAAAGTGCCAACAACTTCTACAATATTTGTGTACCTTTACAGTATTTGGGTACAGAAATCTGCAACCTACAATCAGATGGCAATGTGGCCGAAGTGCTCCAGACTAAATTCTAAATTAGCTCAGAATAGCTGTTCATTAAGAACACGTACACTGGGGAATTTTACAGACAATATGGAGATCATTGTGTGTATTTATAGCACTGCACCTGTGCTAATTCAGTTTGAATTACCAAGCTCAGTATGTCAATAGAGCAATAAAATGTAGGACACAAACTCCATCAGGCCACCGCAACACCAAAAACAAGTTGCAAAGGGTAGTAATCCATGCTAGGAATCAGATTTTACCTTTTGTTTATTTATTCCAGCCATAACAAAGACTGCTTTGAGCTACTGAACATTGATCCTTACTTTATTAAATACACCAGTATGCTAAGTATTAATATGAAAGTATGCCCTGCACAATGTGTATGTATCTTATCAAATACGTTTTCTCCTTTTCAAAGCTGAAGAACAACATAATACTCAGTAGAAATACATATATATATACATGCTTTTTATGCTAAAGGATTTAAAATTCTGTTTTACTTAAGCACCACTGCCAAATACCACAGCCAGGTCTGTAACTAAACAATAAAGCAGCAGCTGATTAATGGAGTCATCCCTGTGGTCGCTTATTTATAAGGATGTTAATTTTTGCAATACCAATGGAATGTGAACAAAGCTTTAGCATATATACTAAGATAAGTGAATATTGTCTACCATTTTAGTAGATCCACCCTTTAGACTTTCATTGTAAGAAGAAACAGTAAATTGTAATCATTATGTAGCTATTCAAAAAGCACTTAAGTATGTAATAAGCAATTTGGATGATCCCTCCCTACCCCCTTGCCCTCCCCTGTGGGATACCTGTTGATCTCCTTCTTACCCCTCATATCCCCTTCAGACCCACTAAGAATTGCATTTTGGTTCAAGGCCTGTTACTGAAGGGCTATCTGGTCGGATATCAAGACGATATATGTATCGTGACTGATGTTTAATCTGCAGTTTACATAACTGTTTTGTTCTTGTCCTACATGTCTGAGCTGCATCTTGCCTCATATACACCTTGCTCTCTATATGACCGTCTGAAAGTCTTGAATACTGTATATTGGCACGGCCTTACTCATGCTGTACTTGTGTCTTGTATTGTGCAAAACCTTAATACAAATGTATTGTTAAAAAAATAAGCAATTTGGATGACCCTATGTCCAGAAATAATTACAATATATATATAGAAAGTTAGGTTTCTTAAAAGACAAACACACACATTGATAAAATTTTCTACACCAACTAGATCTTTTTTACATGTTAAAACTAAACTGTTACTTTAATGATTTGAAATGAATGCTTAACAGGATTAAATGGTGGTTGTTATACCTGCCTGGGGGTTAGATTTAAGTGTATTTTAATGACTGGAGTACATTATCCACATATTTAAACATTCTAAATGGATGCACTTAAGTTAAACTTTCATCCACTTCTCAAGCAAACATTGTGTTTGGCTTTCATGGCCAAAAGGTTGCTGCTTGTATCCTATACACTTTCTTGACAGCTGTGTAGAGAAACTGACATTGCTGACAATGGAAGTCAACACATGGATACCCTATTGACAGTTATGTACCTGAATAAAAGGTATAATTGGAAAAGCTATTATTTTTACTGAACACTTGCCACTTTTTGAGACTGGTTTGCTAAAGTTGTATGTTCATATATGAGCAGCTGAATATGCTGTTAAAAATATAATTACGTATTCCTATTCAGGATTAATATAATGCTAACCGTTTGTGCAGTGCTTTACAAAAGAAATGGAGGCAGTTCAGTTACAATACATTTAAGAGAGTTGGGAGAGCCCTACTCGTGAGAGCTGTCAATCTGAAAGGAGCGATCACGTGATACAAAAGAAACAAAATGTGGGTGATGAGCTGGTGAAGAAAGTAAAAAAAACAGTTTTTAGGTAGAGGTGGGTTAGGCTTCCCTAAAGAGATAAGTCTTTAGGGATCGCCTAAAGGTGGACAGAATAGGAAATAGCTGAACAGATTAGGGTAGGGAGTATCAGTGGAAGCGAATATGAGAGTATGTGATAAGGGAGGTGGAAAGCAGGTCTTGGGAGTGGAGAAGATGGATGATATTTTGAGATGAGTTTGGTGATGTAGCATAAGGCAGGTTGGTGGATGGCTTTGTATGTTGTTGTTAGTATTCTGATTTTTATTCATTGGGTGAGCAGAAGTGAGTGGAGGGAATAGCAGAGAGGGGTGGTGGTTGCTGAATGGGCAGTGAAGTGGATAAGTCTGTCAGCAGCATTTCAGATAGAATGAATGGCGGAGATACAATAGCCAAGGTGAAAGATGACAAATTAGTGAATTAGTAGCTTGGTAATGTCATTGGTTAAGAAGAGGCATATTTTGGAAATGGTATGGAGGTGAAGGTGGCAAGATGTGGATAGTGAATGGGTGCGGGGCCAAAAAGAGAGGTCACTCTAGCACCCTGAAATCAGGGGAGGGCCTCAATTAAATCAGTATGTCAATTGCAATGACATTGTGTAACATTTGCCATTTGTGTGTGCTTGAAAGATAGGAGCTAGGCTTGAATTAACTGTATGTATAGCCTAAACTGTATTTTTTGCTTAGGATAGAATAGAGAATATGATAGAATTTAAACTCTTTATAGCTTTTATTGCTGTCTAGGAAGATTCCCCCTGCATTTATCATGGTGGCCATTATCACAGAAAGAGCTAGGTAATCCAAACATTTACAGTTGTCACTGGAACAGGAATAGAGGAGAAAACTCACAATGAGGACCACTGTTCTGGTGATACCTATCTAGGAGGGGATGACCTCCTAGATAGGTGTTTCTTTTTTTAGAGGGTTTTCTACCTGTTATAGCTATAGGGCAGGTGGTGAAGGGAAATCTTCCAAACAGGACGCAGACAGCAAAGTAAAAAGCTGACATGGTTTTCACCCTTCTGTACTCTATCCAACACTAAAAAGCACACACAAACAACACAAAAAAAATTGTTTTGACTGTACATACACTTTAAAACTGTTAGCAAAAGCTTGGCTGTATTTAAATAGATAACCTATTATCTATCTATCTATCTATCTATCTATCTATCTATCTATCTATCTATCTATCTATCTATCTATCTATCTAATAGTCCTCTTCTCTTCTCCATTATTCATCCATCCTTGTCCTCTCCACAGCTATGTATCAAACTGTATGATCAATTTACACTGGATGACATTTCTATATATGTATGCATTTAACATGGACATTGAGCTTAGAAAGAGCCCTATGCTCTATATCACTGTATTAGTTATCTTTATGGGTCTGCTAAGACTGCTCTGTTCACACGCATACATATGTATACAACCTCCTCCCCTGAAGCTACTACAGATTAACATTGTTCATTATGTGGCACCCTGCAGAGGAAACCTCTGAAGCTGGGAAGTGTTCAGGAAATTGATTGTTACTTTCACTGACGCCACAAAAACTAAACTATGCACTGCTTGTATATATTGTGCCATAAATATCTTCTATAACAAGGGAAATATTTAAAACAGTTTTCTGCAATAAAGAACTGTATAAAATATAGTAGAATTCAAAGAAGGTAGACACAAATGATAAAATGTTGACAAGAGTTTTCCAATGTTTGCTTTTGCAGTAGACAAGCCGTATGGTAATGCTAAAAACACTTATGACATATAGCATGAGTTGGACATTATTAGTTGTCATGCATTAATGCTTCTACATAGGGTCTAACTTTAAAAAAAATGGACTGACTGTGTTTTCTGTAATAGCCATACAAGACAGCTGCAATCTATCTTCTCAGGACAGCAAAGGCACATAACTTTTTCCCTGTCCTTACAGGTAAACCTCATTGTATGGCACCTCTTCCGTCGTATTGACGATGTGTAAAGATGACAAGATGTATGAAAAATCTGACAACTGAAAAATCCTACATGGGGTTGTATTCCCATGTACCCTTGTTACTTTGTTAACAACTCCAAAACCAGCCTTACCAGCCATAAGAACAATGACTGGCTGGGAAAATCCACCATGGAAAATCCTGCACCCAGGACTATTTGACAAATGGGTGTTTGAACCTGTTGCATAGTTTCCAAAGACAAATTCTAATCCATCTGTAATTAACTAGATCATGCTAAAACTATGAGAACCAGTGAGCACATATAATGGGGAAATAGCCTCAGAATTCACAAATATAGCACAAATGAACTACACCTAACAAGTTATCAGAGAAAACTCACCTGCCCAGGCCCACTTAGAGTGGGAAATACAACCTCGGTTTCATTGAACATGCTTTTCAGTTGAGGAAAATTTAAAGGCCTCATGAAGTTGAAATCATTTTTATCTGACATTGTGGAATAGCAGGATTTGTAACACTGACCCTTGGGATCTGTTGGTGCCATCCTAACTTCCATATACTTCAGAGTACCATCTGAGTTCAAATGTAGAGTTGGCTGATACTGTCCTATGTAGTGATTCGGCTCAGGGCCATTTTTGCAACACCATGCTGGACCACCACTATCCTTTTTTAGGCATTTTATCAGCAATATTGTGAAGGTGATAAATGATACAGCACTTATTGCAACCAAAGAAATAATTAAATACATTGTTATTTCAGAACTGTTTGATGAACTTGGAAACAAATCCTGGGACTTCATGTTTTCCTGCACTGTATTATCTTCCAATGTAATGATGATAGTCACTGTGGCAGACAAGGGAGGTTCTCCATTATCACTAACTGAAACAACTACACTTTGCTCTTGGTTTTCATTTTCCTGAAAACTACGGGCAGTTCTGATTTCTCCCGTTTGGGAAGATATAGAAAATAAAGATGTGTCAGTGGCATTAACAAAGTTATATAATAACCATGCATTATGACCTGAATCAAGGTCCACTGCATTTACTTTAGTGACAAAGTATCCACTCGGGGCTGACCTTGGTATCTTTTGATGTGCAAGAAACTCACCAGAATGTTCAGGGTAGAAAATTGATGGAGAATTGTCATTAGCATCCAAGATGAAGATAAACACAGTTGTATTGGAAAATTGCTTAGGAGACCCAGAATCTTCAACTTTTACTGGGATTTGTATAACCTGGACCTGTTCAAAATCAAATGAACGCTGTGCATAAATATTTCCAGTTTTTGGATTAATATATACAAAAGTTGATATAGTGGAACCTCCGACTTCACCATCAGTAATTGAATAAATTAAGTTGGAATTCTCTCCTTCATCTGGATCCGATGCTGAAACTTCTACAAGTAACTGCCCAGGCTTGTTGTTTTCTTGAACACTGGCACTGTAAGTAACTTGGGAAAATGTTGGCTGGTTGTCATTGACATCTGAGATTTTTAAAGTGATTGTTTTTTGCGTCCTTAGAGGAGGAGACCCCATGTCACTTGCAACCAGGTCAATGACATACTGAGACACTGTTTCTCTATCCAAAACACCATCTGTAATCATTGAATAGTGATCATCTGAAGATTTGAACTTAAATGGCAAATTAGAGGGCAGTTCTAGTCTTACCTCCCCATTTAGACCCAAATCTTTGTCGTTTACTCTGAAAAGCCCAACAACTGTTCCGATTGCTGTATCTTCAGGAACGTCTGTCATTAAAGAGGTCAGCACTATTTCCGGTGCATTATCGTTGACATCATCAATTTCCACGTGGACAATACAACTCCCCTCCATTTCTGGCACACCTTTGTCTTTTGCTCTGATGGTTAACTCAAATGCTCTTGACTCCTCATGATCAAAAGGTCCAATAACAGAAATAACCCCCGTACTTGGATTTAAGGCAAATAATCTTTTAATGGAATCTGGTGTGTGATCATCAAAAGAATATTCAATTTCACCATTGGCACCTTCATCTAGATCGGTGGCATTAAGTTTTAAGAGTATCGTGTTAACAGAAGTATTCTCTTTTACATTGATTTTATAGGATCCCTTTACAAAGGTAGGTGGGTTGTCATTTAAATCCACAACAATAACATTTATTTGTGTAGTTCCAGACCTTGGAGGAGTGCCTCCATCTACTGCTGTCAGGATAAGGTGATGTCTGTCTGCTTCTTCTCTGTCCAAAACTTTTTCTAACACTAGCTCTGGAATGACAGTTCCATCTTTGCGGTTCTTTACAGACAGTGAGAAATAAGGACTTGGATCCAGTTTATATTGCTTAATTCCATTGGTGCCCACATCCAGATCGTGTGCACTTTCCAAAGTAAACCTAGCTCCGGGACTTGCTATCAATTCTGTAATCTTTATAGTTCTTTCATTGTTTGAAAACATGGGAGAGTTATCATTTATATCCTTAATCTCTACCATGACACGGTGTAGCTGTAGAGGGTTTTCTATAACTACTTCAACCGGTAACACACAGCTTGTGCTAGAGCCGCACAGGCTCTCCCTGTCTATCTTTTCATTCACTACCAAAGCTCCATTTTCCCAGTTCACAGCAAAGTGTTTTCTGCTTCCCTCTGATCCCATCCTAAGCTTGCGCTTCGAGAGATCAGAGATTTTCAGCCCCAGATCCTGAGCTACATTTCCCACCATTGTCCCCGGCTCAGACTCCTCCACAACTGAATAGTGAAGCTGCCCAGAGACCCAGCCCCAACTACATAGGAAAAAGAAGCACTTTACTTGCCATTTCCAAGTCTCTGCTGAGTTTTGAATGTCCATAACTTAAACCTTCCCTCCAAGCAGCGTGACTGCTGCTTTCTCCGAATCCACATGTAAATCCTAGGAATTAAGTGAATCCATAGTGCACAAAGAGACCTTCATATTGTAGCACATTTGTATCCAACTTGATAAATACATCCACAGAACTCTTATCAGAGCAGCAGCCTTCCTTTCTGTGTTGCTGGAGGAACGCTTCACAAAACCAGGGGGGGAGAGAAAGGATGACAGCGGAGGCTCTGTTGTGTGCAGCACAGAAGGATCAGATGTCATCTATGCCCTCTACTGGCCACTGTTATTAATTGAAAAACGGCAAACTGTAAATACATGATGCTGTATTTACAATCACAACTGAGAAAAAAACTTCCACATTTTTGGAATTCTTTAGTATTCTATCCTTTGTCCTAATGCAGATGTATATTTCGACGGCAATTTCATCTGAAAATTTCAATAATACAGTCAGCCACAATTAAACCTGCCATGTCTCTAATAATAATTGCTACATGAAAGCAATGTTTAGTAGTAGATATTGTTATCCGTGATTTTTTTGTTTCTGCATTAATGTTAGTTTTAATATTTTGTTAAGCATTTTCTACATTTCAGAATTCTACACTTATAATTTACAGGGTTATTCACAAAAGGGTGAAGAGTTTGGAGAAGGCAGGAGAAGTGAACAATCTAGGACAACATAGCTGAACTGGAAAGTGAGCTGAATTGGAGAATTTTTCCAAATCAGCTATTTTTGCCTAGATTGTTCACATCTCCTCCCTTCTCCAAACTCTTCACCCTTTTGTGACTAACCCTGTTAGTGTTGGAATCTGGTATATGGAGAGTAAACTAAGACATACATTATTGTCTACTTTTTAGTAACATAAGTTCACCTTTAATTTGACAATACCACAACTATGGAAGCATTTGATCAAATAACAGTACATTCAGATGTACCAAATGTAGTTCACTTTGTAGTATAGAAGTTTTCATAACCATGTATTAAAAAAAAAAAGGGCTAAACTTCCAGGAGACTGGTTGGAATATGAATAAACAGACATTTAGAAGAACTGTACACATTTTTAGAAAACTGGTCTACCATCATCGGATCTCTTTACCAGTTAAGGAGATTTTCATTACACATGTCATAGAATGCTGATTGAAGAAAACCTGACAGACAGAAAAATGCATATATGGTAAAGGATTTATTGCCCTTCTTGCTAAGGAAAGGGAATGGTAGGCTATCAATAAAAAAGAGTTTTTTCGAACATGACATTGTGCAACACTGATCAGCTTTGACAATCATTACTATCTTGCAAAACAGCTCAGCTCATTAAGTGATGCTCAATTTGGAAGCATTGATTGATTTAATAGCTAGCCTACCAATGTGGCCTATAACTAAACAAACATGTTTCCTTACAAAATGTGCATAATCTTTAAGAAGCATCTAGAAAAAAGAATAGCAAAAATAATAATATTTATCAGTATGGGGGCTCAGTATAAAAACCAGAAAAGTAATAAATATGAAGTAAAATCACATGTACCTCAGTATTGCCACTAACAAGTCAATTCCAATCCAATCAGTAGAACCTGCATTGCACAATGATGCCGTCTACCTGTTCTGACTAAACAGCAAGGGCATTGTATAATTTCCCATCAGTGAAAAAATCTTCCAACACTTATCCAGCAGTGGGCACTGCTATTAGAAACATCCCCAACATACAGGATATAGAACAAATACATCACAACTTCTTAAAGAGTCCCAGCCATGTTACACATTCAGGGCAAAGTGACAGAGCCTCTTTAAAGCTCACCGCAGCCAAGTTATTCTTACTTTCAGACTGCAAAATACCAGGTGTCCCTGATGGGCTAGGAATAGAAGAAGTCACCGGCACACACTGGCACGCAGTCTCCACTCTACCATTCCGACTTTATTGACGTTGGACAGTCATAACATCACATTGAAATTCAATGTTTCAGAACTGAATAGGTTCCATCATCAGGCAAACAAAGTGACTGAATAGGTTAGGTGACAGGGTTTCTTTAATCTATGTTCATGACATGTATCTCACCATTTACCTCTCTGTCTAAAGTTAAGGAGTTTAACAGATTCCACACCCATCAATAATTGTAAAATAAACCTAAACACAGCTGGTATACTAAAGCGGGACTCCAGAAAAATATCATAACCTATATACAGTATATAAAGCCTGACTTACACTTATAACTGCAAGCATCCTCTATGTATACAGTTCAACACCCATCTTCTCACTAGAATTTACAAACAAAGAAGACATTTCTGCACATCTTGTCTCCATCTTGTATAAACTGTTGCTTCATGGTATACATGATGATGTTCCTGTATGATGTATTGCAAAAAGAATGTAATAAAAGACTGACTTAAATATTATGAGATTGCACATACAGAGACAAGAGACAATGGAGCACTTGGTCTTTTTCTGCTGTCGATCTTCTATGTTTCTGTTGAGTAACATTTATTTATAATGGTTAAAAACCTAAATATAACTGCTATGAAAGCTATTCACATTCTATATCTCTAGAGGAACTGTGTTTGCACTGGAGATTAGAGGGCAAACATACATGTATGTATGTAGTATGTTATACATGTATGTATGTAGTGTTTTGTAAAGAGTATGGAAGGGTAAGCCCTCCAGTTAGGTGGTCTTCACTGTCTCTGTACCTGCTGATGAGATTCACTCCACTATGTTATCTTAGTGACTACTGTCACGGAGACAGCTATAGTAATGAAGGAAAATCCAAAATTCTGGGATGGCCATACACATGCCGTTCTTTCTCTGCAAGCTGAATGAGAGAACCGTGCAATTTTCCCATCCATGCTGAGGAATATCCCCTGCTAGATATTGGATTTTGACAGCTGGTGCCTGTGGTTGTATCTGATTGGCTGCAGTCACTGTTTGTCTGACAAATTTTCTCCAGACTCCTTCATTTTTTTCATTGAAGTTTGTTGAGCCATGTGTTGCTGTCAGGACCACCCATGATTAGAATTCTGGCAGATATAAAGTGTGTGGTCAGCTTTACAGTTCTCAGTAGAGCAAGACGTTCTTCAAATGGGGGCAAATGTTTAAGTGACTACTGGGAATTTTCCTCACATTTTCTGTTGTATATCCAGAATAGGAGGAGAGAAAATCTCCCCAGTGGGGCACACACATAAAAATATGGGGATTTTACTCTACCTTACTCTATCCAAAATAAAACTAACGCTGACCATATGCAGCTTAAATTTCAGCCAAATCCTGCTGAACTGGATGAAATTTGAACCATGGGTGACCTTGTCAGCACCGCCCATCACCGCCCATCACCGCAAAGCTCAATTGAAAAATCGAAGGAGCTGAGTGGAAAATTGTTGGGCAATCTGATCAGATGCAGTCACTGTTCGGGAATTCATATAGCTGGGGGTGCTGGTTGCTATAGCCGTCAGGGGAGATTCCCCCATGGGTGAATCAAGTGATTTCTGTCCTTCAACCCATGGGCTGAAGGACAGAAATCTAAACATGTATAAAGTTTGCCTTTACATACACTTTAATGGTTTTGTTATGGATGAAGGGGGCGCTGTGTTCCATGCTGTTACAGACTTCATATCCTTACTTTTCCTTTCTTCACCTTTTTGTTTCATCTCTTTCTTTCTTTATACTTCTCTCTTTCTCTTTATATCCTCCCCCCCCAGTAATTGAGATCACATACAAACAGTTATCTTATGCATTTTTGCATCAAATGTCATTCAGTAAAGGTAGCATCAAGAGAATCATCACACACAGGTACAGCTCCTAAACTTCAGATAATGAAAATCAAATAAAAATGTCACATGCAGGCAAACCTGCTGGTAAAGCTAGGTATTGTGGTATAAACAAAACCGATAAGTATAATTTCAGTACATATCCCTTATTCTTACTAGTTCTACCTTTTCTGCAGCAGTTGCTCCAGACCACCACTAGAGGGAGCTTAAGAGAAAACAATTTCTAGTCTGCTCATTTCTCCAGTACAAAGTTCCTCTCTTGTCTTCCTTCAGCTTCCTCTAGTGGTGGGGTGCAGAAGCTGCTGCAGGAAGAGACAAACTGACTTTTCAAGTAAAAATTACAAATATGTGCAAAAAATGCACTTAGTATTTAAAGGAAAGCAACCTTTATTTCTTACAGGTATTTACTGTATATAATGCCAACAATTTTATGCAACACTTTACAAACTGTACATTCACATCAGTCCCTGCTCACAATTTAAGGGCCCTACACACACAAGGCAATTAAACGTCCAGCATGTCTTTGGAGTGTGGGAGAAAGCCCACACAAACACAGGGAGAACATGCAAACGGCTTGCAGTTAGTGTCCTGACTGAGGGAATCTAGGGACTCCCAGTGCTGGAAGGCAGAAGTGCTAACCACTAAGTTAAAGTGCTGCCCGATTATAAAAAAAAAGAAATGATCACAAGAAAATGATGGAACTTGCAATTGCTGACTTCTAAAAATGCTGCCTGCCCTGCAAACATGCTGACCATTTGGCGTCAATACCTCAAGCTACTGGAACAAGTATACAGATCAGTAATTTTGTCATTCCTAATCTGCTTGCTTCTTGCCATCAGTAAACGTTTTGCAGCCAGAGGGTCAGCATATCTTCCAGTGATTTTAAAAATACTAAAACCAGAAAAATCAATATGTCAGATGGGCAAATAGTATTTTCAAATGGAGGTCAGTAATAACAACAGCCCCTATATTTCCCCCTGTGTTATGTACTTATTATTGTTATTTACAAATGGAATCAAGGAAGGGGAACTGAATAGAGTTTTTTTCCAATTTTTCTAGGCAATCTATGTTAAAGCCAGAAAAAAAAACCCAACAATACAGCTACTGTATGTGTTCCAACATCTGCAATGCAAAGATTAAAACAGGAAATTACAGACATGACTAAATAAAGCTTATGAGCACATATAAGACAATTACAGTATAAAACCTTAAACACAATTATAGTAAAAGCTACTACATAATCACTTCAGATCTAAAACACCACCACTGTATGGAATCAGGGCCGGATTTGCCACAAGGCCGGGGCGGCAGGGAGCAGAGGGGCAGCAGGGGTGTAGAATCTCCCGACACCTGGGAAATGCAGTTTCCGGGCACCGGGAATGCAGGGCTAAATGTAGAGCGGGGAGGCCACTTGTTTGTTTACAAGTGATCTCGGCGATG